CATCTTTCCTTTAAATTGATAAGTCTTGAGTAGCCAAAGGAAGGGGCAGGTCAAGACTGGATTTCATTTCAATCACTGGGTCAGATGGATAGAGTTTGGGTAAGTAAAGAATTGTTCACACGGTATTAGATAACATTAGAACATAGCACGTGAGGGGGGGAAGCTTGAATGTGGGAAGCAGAGTGTAGACACAGCAGGCACCAGTAGCTCTAAAGAAGTTAAAGTAGTGTAAACGGAGGGAATAATTTGATGGAATGGCATAGCAGGATCAGCAGCCACTTTAGACTTTGGAAAACATGGTAGTAGGGAGTCAGACCCCAAGAAATAGATGGTGGGATTACAACCCATATTTGAGAACACTGGGTCTGCAGAGAGCCAAGCCTCGGGAGCAAGTAGCCATGGTCTTCTGACTCAAGCATAGAGAGGAGAATTGTCAGGCAAAGGAAAAGAAAGGTCCCAGAGTCAACTTTTATTCTCTAACATTTTCCATTGTTCAAACCATGGTCTGTTTTCTGTCCCGGATCAAATTTTGAGTGGTAGGTTATATACAGGGTGTCCCCCCCAAATGTATACAGTTGAACAGCTGGTAGTTCAAGTGATGTTTCTTTTCAGATTTAACCCATTGGAATTATAATTATTCAAAGTGTGTTTACATTTTTTGGAACACCCTGTATTTGATTAGAATGAGGGTTTAAAATACTGAATGGTTATGGTGACATCCATAAAAATTCTCAAGTCTTTGATGGAGGTACAAGATGATTGAGTTTGATGCAATGGTGGAATATGTAGAATATTTAAATGTGAAGATGGAAATAGAATAGAAGGAAACTGGATGATGACAAGCTGTTTCTGATGTCATGTGCTGGGTAACACTAGTTCATTAAATGTGTAAATTTATACACCTACTTCAAAAAGAACTTTGAAGCATCTTAGCATTGTTCATCACAGTTGAAAATAGATTTTCTTTTTGTATACAACAAAACTAGTTAAATATAGCAGAGAAGTAGATGTTAGTAGATGTTTGAGTATATGTTTATACTACTAAACATCAGCAAGCTCCACCATAGAAGCCAACGCACAAGAAAGGGGAAACGTTAAATCATCCTTTTTCAATAAAAAAGCACAAGGGAATTAGCTCAGTCATTCTTATGTTTCTGAATTCAAGGAAAATATATTTTGTGAATTTTTGTATAAGGGACTTTTTGGTACAGATAACTATTTCTTTAACAGGTTGCTAAAAGACAGTGTTCTAGGGGAAATTTTTTATCAATCTTTATAAGTTAAGAACAATATTAAATTTTATTACAGGAATTCACTGAGGAATTAGATGAAATGATCTATGCCTGTTTCCTGATGATCAGAGTTCATAAAGAAACGAGATTTTAGAGAATCTAGAGAAAAAGTTGGAAGCATAATATGTATTCAGTGATCCTTTGAAAAATACTAAATTACTATTTCTCTGAGTAGTGCCTTAAGTTTCTGTAGTAGATGCATTGTTTAAATGCAGTAGATTTAGAAAGGGGTTCTCAGATGAAAGGTGACTTTTTAGATTGTTGAAAATGTTTGACAAGTCTAAATTATTTTTCCGCTACCTCACCTCCCAGAACCTGCCTTTCTCACCCCCTCTCTAACCACCTCCCCCCTACCCCCCAGGAAAAAAAAAAAAAAACCCAAGCAAAGCTTTAGTCTGCTAAAGTATGGACTAATTAATGCTTGATTGAAATTTCAGGGCTTACCAAAGAAAATGAAAGTAATGTTTTATTAACCATAGGTAGAACTTGATACATTTTCATTGCCCTAGTAATATAAATGACTATAGAAAGGACCTTCAAATGGCTTAGTGAAAACATGTTTGATGGGTCTTTTAATGTTGTTCACTTAATGGAGAATAACTACCAAAGAGGAAGGTTATAATGGCCAACTTTGTTGAGCTACTTTATTTTGTTCTAAAAAGTTTATATGCAGTGTTTCTGTGAAATGAGTATTTTTATTTTGTAAATGAGAAAACTAAGCTTCAGAGGTTTAACAACTTGTAGTAAGATGACTTAGTTGGAATTCAAATCCAGGTCTTTCTGTGTAAAGCTTGTGCAATGTTGTTTCTTGTATTTGTTCATTTTAATTTATTAAGAAACATATATTCTCTACTGGACACAGACACAGAGGATACAGTTTGGTGCAAAGGAAAAAAATCTAAATAAAGTCAGGGTTTCATTCTTAGAGCTTATTCTCTAGTAGGAGAGGGCAGTAGTGGGTCTCAGATGGGCAGCAATAAATTCTTTGCTTTACATGACTTGTTATAAGCATTATATATAGAATGTGTTGATGTTCTTTTGCACCTGGTGAGTAGACTGGCATGGGGTAGGAATTACGGCTACAAATATATTGAAGTTCCCTGTGAGTTTGACAGAGATGGCACTTCTTAAAGGATCTGATGAGATCCTCATCCTGGTTGGGCATTATTATCAAGAGGTGGGCAGCTTTATGGGCACTTAATGTACTTCTACCAGGATTGATTTCAGCTTGGACAGCTCTTGGTGTACAATTAACCTCTTGTTAACTTAAACTGCATTAAGGAACTTACATCCTTTGTCTTTTATTAATACTCAGGTATTAAAAATCATACAAGTAAATGCCAAATTACTGCAATGAATACTTCTAAGGCAACTAACAGTAGAGTGAGAGCATAAAAGAAGGTTTTGATGTGGTTGGGGAGGGGGTAGGGAAGGCATTCCTCATTAGGTGATGCTTTAACTAAGATGGATGAGTATGCATTAACAGCGGGGAGGCCCTGGTGGAGAGTATTCCAAATAGAACAAACCCATTTTAAAGGCTTTGAATTGGGAACTGCAAAAGATCTTTGTGCCTGGAGCAGAGGGCTGGGGAGGGAATCATGGGGTGAAATGAAACTGGAAAGGTAGGCAGGAGTTAGATCAAGGCAGGACCTTGTATATGTAGATTTTTGTCTTTCTTCAAAGAATGGGAAGTCACTGACCTTTTTAAGGGGTAGAGAGAATGGTTGGTGAATATTAATCACCTAATCAGATTGGTTTTTGTAAAGGTAGACATCCCGAATTTAGGTGTTCTCTGTATGAGAGATGAAAGTAATTTGGACTATGGTTGTGGTCATGGTTGGAGGAGGACGAGGAGAAACAAATATGGGGAAAACGGTAAAAATGAACAGAATTCAGTGATGAATTTCTAGTTTATTAACCAAACTTGCTTTTATTGTCTGTACAAGTTGTTTTTGCACTGTTGTAATGACCAAAGGTTAGTTTCCAGACTTGTATATAGTATCTTACAGCATTATTTAAAACCTTAGCATCACTGAGTACATTGCAAATTTTAATCACTATTCATTTAAGCTCAGTTATTTGTTGTTTCCTAATTCCCCACCTTGTCTCAGTTTTCTCTCTAATTTTCTCTCTAAGCAGTATTATCCTTTGCTTAAAATAGAAATTTCAAAAAAGATTTTTTGAGGGGGAGATTATTGCTAAACAAGAAATCTATTGATTTTTAAAAAGTTTTGAGATACAATTCACATGCCATATAATTAATCAATTTAAAGTTTATAACTCACTGGTTTTTAGTATGGTTGTATAACCATCACCACATTTAATTTTATAATATTTTCATTACCCCTAAAAGAAATGCCGTGCTCATTAGTACTCACTCCATACTTCTTACCAACTCCCCCCTCTTCCACATTGTAGACAGTCACTAATAGATTAGTCCTTTCTGGACATTTCATAGAAATACTGGAGGCCCGATGCATGAAATTTGTGCAAGAGTAGGCCTTCCTCCCCCTGCTCCCGGCACCGGCTTCCCCTGGCACCCGGGACCCAGGCTTCCCTCTGGCCGCTCGCAGGCACCTGGGACCCAGGCTTCCCTCGTAGCCCCGGCTTCATCCTGAAGGTCGTCTGGAAAAACTTCTGGTCTAATTAGCATATTATGCTTTTATTATTATAGATAATCCTATAATTGTTTTTTTTTATTTAAAAAATTTTATATGTTTTTATTGATTTCAGGGAGAGGGAGAGAGAAAGAGAGAAACATCGATAAGAGAGAAACATTGATTGGCTGACTCCTGCATGTCCCCTACTGGGGACCAAGCCCACACCCAGGCATGTGCCCTACCTCTAATCAAACTGGCAACCTCGTGGTGCATGGATCGATACTCAACCACTGAGTGACACCTGCCAAGCTGTTTTATTTTTAAATTAATATGGCTTTTCTTCTTTTTTAACTGAGTATAGTATTTTTTAAATTCATCTGTTTTGTAGCATGTTTCATTTTTGTTTTCATGGCTAATAATTTCTTTATTAAATTTTCATCCGTTGGTGGACATTTGGGTGGTTTTCACTTTTTAAATGAGTTTTTTCATGAATAATGTTGCAGTAACATTTGTGCACAAGTTTTATGTGACCATATATTTTCAACTCATATATATACTTGGGAGTGGAATTCCTGGGCTATATTGTATATTATTATGTTTCATCTTTTAAGAAACTGTCAAACTGGTTTCCAAAGCTGCTGTACCATTTTACATTCTCACGAGCATTGTATAAGGGTTCCAGTTCCTCCACATTCTTACTAACACATTATTTTCTGTCTTTTTTTACTATAAGCAAGTTGACTCGGTACCTCATTGTAGTTTTGATTTTCATTTCCCAGATGGCTAATGATGTTGAACTTGATTTTTAAAAGAAAGGCAGTACTTTGATTTCATTGAGAATATAAAATTCGAAATATTTGGTAATTTCATATAATTGCTTAAAGACAGTTTTGCTGAATTTAAAATTTGTTGTGGCCCAGTTGGTTGGAGTGTCCTCAGTCAGGGCACATACTTGGTTATGAGTTCAATCCCATCTGGGCATGTATGGGAAGGCAATTGATTGATGTTTCTCACATTGATGTTTCTTCTCTCTTCCCTCCCCTCCCTCTAAAATCAATAAACATGTCCTTGGGTGGGGATTAAAATTTGTTGTTGTTGTTTTTATCAGCTGTATTCCCTGAATGACTACAAGCCACCAATTTCGAAAGCGAAAATGACCCAAATCACTAAAGCAGCCATCAAAGCTATTAAGGTAATAAATTTTATTCTTGTTTTTAAAAAGAAAACACTGCAGTAATATTTTGGAGCTGGGATAATTTTTACAGATTATATATGTTCTTCCTCTTTACAGAGTTAATACATATTCATGGAGAAAAACACAAAAATGAAAATCTATCACTGTAAACTCTCCCACCTAGAGATAAACACTTAACATTTTGATAACTGTTCTTCCATAAACTTTGAGCCAGCATTTTTCCTTACTTTTCTTAGGCGGGTAAGATTTTAGATATGGGCACATTTTGGAGGATGTGTTTAACACTGTTATTTGGCACACTGACTTTACAGAATGTTGAAATCTTGAATTAGTAAAATTTTTCTAAAAATTTTTTTATTGCTTTTTTTCTTATTAATTGTATTAAATATTTGAAAATGAGCCATTATGGAAAATAATTGAGCCTCATTGTACATAGGGCATTTGAATTGTGGGAAGAGGCCACAGACATTTAGCCATTGCTCTCATACAATGGTTTTGAACATGTTGACTCATGGATACTTCTGAAAACCTCAGGAAGAGGTTGGATCTTCTCTAGAGAAGTATACATATACACAAAATTTATTGGCGTTAAGGACCTTTTGAAGCTCAGCCGTAGACATCTCTCTGAGAGGTTCCTGTTCCCAAAGCTAAGACTCCCTGCTTGAGTAGGGCTATTAAAATTGAGAATGAGTGCTTATTTTTAATTATGTAGTTATTTATTAACCTGTGGATATTTGGTGGTATGTTTTCCTACTCTGAATAAGAATATCAGCAATACCCTGAAGTACCGGGGTAAGTAGGGAGATAATGACTTTGAAAACAACTCCCTTGCATACATTTATTAATGCTTTTTGTTGACATTTATTTGATTTTTCTACTATGCTAATTTAGCTTAAAAAATGATACTATAGAAAATCTTTTCCTTTTGCGCAAATAAGAATATATATCTGCCAGTGTGCTTATTACAAAGATTTTGCTGTCATTATAACTATTTGTGAAAATATGCTTTCATAAAGACAATTCTTGTGTATCTGTGTTAATGTAACACATCTTGAATATAATGCCATATACCTACTTCAGGAATTCCTTTATCATAGGTAGTTGTAAAGACCAGTTACATGAATGGCTGTCTCAAAATTCATGATTAATATTCATTGTTTTGATAGACCTTTGAAACTATAGTAAATCCTATGTTTAGCGGGAAAATGCTAATTGTAAGCAAACAGATTTTTAAAACCCATGCTTTATTTATTTTTTTTAGTTCTATAAACATGTGGTACAGAGTGTTGAGAAATTCATTCAGAAAGTAAGTATATAATTTTCCTTATATATGCTTAATGAATTATAATTATAGATTAATGCCTTGTGCTCTTCTCATTTAAATCAAATACCCAAGTTGAAATTGTTTTAACGGACTGTTCACTTACTTTATTTTCTAACTAGAGGCCCAGTTCACGAAAATTCATTCACTCGAGGGGGGGTCGCTCAGCCCGGCCTGCGCCCTCTGGTAGTCCAGGACCTCTTGGGGGATGTCCACCTGCCAGCTTAGGCCCGCTCCCTAGGGGAGCGGGCCTAAGCTGGCAGTCCATCTCTCTGGCAGCCCAGGAGCCCCAAAACATTGGTAGTTGGAAATTCTAAAGCCTTTAAAAGTCTTTCTGAAAAGGTTTGAATGTCTAGAGCAGTGCCTAGGGATCTTGTTAAAATGTGGACTCTGATTCACTAATGTGGGAGGGGCTCAGATTGCATTTCTGTTTCGAGATGATGCCTTTGCTTTTAGTTCCTAAACCAGTTTGAGTAGTAGGGACTAAAGGATAAATATGAATTTATGCATTAATGTTTTTTGACTGATTTGATTTGGGGCAAGGGCACTTTTAATTAGTTATTTCAGAATCTTAGGAACTCCTTGGGTGAGCACAGTTATTTTTATTGTGTGATAATTGTAGAGTCAATCCGAAGAAGCAAGTCAGTAGCTGAGGGAACATTTTTATTTCAAGTGAAGAAAATGGATGGAATTTAATCTTCATTTGTAGGACACTGCAATACATGAAATTCCACATAAATAAGAAACCTATTGGAGGAGAAGCTTTGTATAGTATATATAATTTGGAACTGTTCAAGTATAGTTTTTGTTTTAAAAAGTGCGACAGTAACAAACCACATCCACATTTAAAGAGTTCTTAGAGAAACTGTACGACAAACTTAAACCAAACAAAGTGTTATCGGGGAAATTGGGGTTTCCTTTTCTGCACTGCATGCTGGGGTTGGAGTCATTCTGACATCTAGAAAAAGAATTTTCTGAGACTCACACTAGAGAATGAATGATTTTTATTTGTGTGGAATTACATCCCTGGGTTTTCAAAGTCCCATTTTCCCTAGTGCAGTTATAGAAGTGCAGCTGGGGCTTCAGCAGAGCTAGAAGCAAAGCCAGTGTCCAGAGTTTGCGTTCCATGTTGCAGCCAGGTCCAGTTCAGCCTCAGGCTAGTTGCCCATTAGTCCGTTGTGTGTGGGCAAAAGCAGGGGAACCAAGAGAACTCGAGCCCCCCATGCAACAAGAGTCCCAAGAGAGCCAAGAGCAAAAAGAGAGTGTAGTCCTTTGTTTAGGGAATTAAATATCCCAAATTTTGCTCCTTTGCAGTAGCCACACCCTTCTGGCTAATGACTTATTCCCAGGTGTCACTGATAGGCAGGTACCTTCAATGTCATCCCAACTTTACTGGGTATGAAGCTATTCTCTCTGCATCCAGTCCCTTCCCCAGCCATCTGTGGGGCACAGACCAGTGAGTCCCTGGGGAGTGTAAAGCTTTAGTTTCCTGGTGAAGCTGCCCAAGTGACATGCCTATAATATTTGGCCTTCCTTGTGTTCCTTTCCTTTTATTAATAACTAGGTTAATTATAACTATCAAAAGTACACAGCTAACAACTTTTGCCTCAGTTGTACAATCTAAAAGTTAAAGGTCCCAGGAGGGCTACCCTGAACTTGTAATATGTAGCCTTCAGAGTTAGTTTTTGGCACATTTTGATCATTCCTCTTCTTCGAAGGAGAAACACCTCTCAGTCAAGTATAATGATTATTAATGAAGCTTTATAGAGCTTTATTAATGAAACTTAGAGGCCTGGTGCACAAAATTTGTAATTTGTGCATGGGAGTGAGGAGCTCCCTCAGCCTGGCCTGTACCCTCTCACAGTCTGGGACCCTCACTCCTTACTGCCCACCTGCAGCAGAGGCGGGAGAGGCTCCCGCCACCGCCCTGTGCTTGTCAGCTTTTGGCTGAGCGGCGCTCCCCTTATGGGAGTGTATTGACCACCAGGCAGCAGCTCCTGCGTTGAGCGTATGTCCCCTGGTGGTCAGTGCGCGTCATAGCGACCGGTCGTTCCACCGGTCTTTTGGCTGTGTGGTCGATTTGCATGTTAGGGTCTTATTATATAGGATTTTGTAGAGTTTCGGTTTTGTCCACACTGCCACATTCTTCAGTCATCATGCTAAATTTCCCACCACAATGAACGAGGTATACAATCTGTTCAACTGTTTCACCACTTGTGTAGTTGGTTATAGCCCAGGGGTGGGCAAACTTTTTGACTCGAGGGCCACAATGGGTTCTTAAACTGGACCACAATGGGTTCTTAAACTGGACCGGAGGGCCGGAACAAAAGCATGGATGGAGTGTTTGTGTGAACTAATATAAATTCAAAGTAAACATCATTACATAAAAGGGTACGGTCTGTTTTAGACGGAGGTATTGTAACTATTGTGCCCCCAGCGAGATGACTTCCTGCTTCTAAATTTCTCAATGTATAGCATTCTCTTTGGCTAATGGTATTCAAGAGCACATAGCAAGGATGGGACTCCCTTTCATTGCTCGATCTCTGCCTGTTTCTGTAGCTCAGCCCCCAGATGCTCAATGGACTTTGAATCCCAATATGATTCTCTTGCAAGTAATTGTTTTAGGCCTGAGGAAGGCCAAAGAGTTAATTTGGAATTGAGAGACTCCTGTTCTTTTTCAAAAAAAAAAAGTAAGTGTTTTAAGTAGGTGAGGGGATTGGAGTAGGGAGATAATGATCTCCAGTTTTAAAGGAGACCCAGAGGAAAGCTGACCTCATTTTATTGACAGAAGATTACACTGTGTATTTATAGTTTGAAATATTGACTTCTTGAAGAGAAAAAAAACAACACAAAAAATACATTGTAAAATGGTACCATATTAAAGACAGAGTGCCAGACATTTCCATCCAGGTAAATTTTTCCATTTGACTTATTTAACAGTGGTGCCAGTAACACTGAAGATTTAGTTTAGTTTTCTTTTTTAAATATATTTGAAATTTTTTACATATAATTTAATTGGGGCCTTTTAAGTTCATCTTTAATGTCTTCCTGAATATACTTTTTCCTCTCCCTTCCCCCCACCCGGATCTTTTTTCCAATTCAAGTATGAATAAAATACAAAATCTAATAAAAAAATTAGATAAGGCTCTTTCTTCCCTCCCATGTTTAACCCACAAGCCTCATGGTATGACATAGTGGAGATTTCAGATGAAACAAAATGGGGTGTGGGTATCAATCCCATAGCCCTGCTCTGTCCCCAATCCCAGAGCTCTACTCTGAAGCGCTCTTGGAGCCACCACTTGTTATAGGAGAACACCATAATTCTGCCATAAGAGGCTTTCTGCTTGAAGTAACAGAGAAAATAGAATGTCACAAGAAATCTCTTTTTCAACAACTAGAGTGAGAAAATGGAGGGAAGAAGAGAGAGGATAGGAGGCCTTCAAAAGTGAGCCAAACCCTTGGCTAATGCTGGAGTAGGTTCTGCCCTATTGTGTGGGTGTCTGAACCCTGTGTTTCAAGTGTCATGTCCTCATCAAATGTGAGATGCCATCTTGGTAAGTTAAATGGATTACCCTCCCCCGAGTGCACAAATTTTTGTGCACCGGGCCCCTAGTCATTACATAAAAGGGTATGGTCTTTTTTTTTTTAGTTTTATTCATTTCAAACGGCCGGATCCGGCACGAGGGCGGTAGTTTGCCCACGGCTGTTATAGCCCATACAGCTTCCTGTTGAGTCTTAAAGTCTTCCTTAGAGAGAATGCCAAAGAGGAATGACATTCCCTAGTCAATGTCTGGGGGGAAATTTAAATGTGTGTGTGTTTTTTTGTTTGTTTGTTTTTCATTGATTTCAGAGAGAGGAAGGGAAAGAGAGAGAGATAGACGCGTCAGTGATGAAAGAGAATCATCAATTGGCTGCCTCCTGCATGCCGCCCCCTATTGGGGATCAAGCCTGAACTGGGTATGTGCCCTGATCAGGAATTGGAATCAGTGCTTGTGAATTGGTGCTAAAGGTCTCTTCATTTTCTTGACTTAATAAATACCTTAAGGAAAAGGTTCTTAAAAAGAATTTGAAGGAACATATGAAATATATCATCTTGGTTTTTTTCAGAGTGAAATCACTCATTTATCAGTTAAAAGTCCTAATAGAAATGTGTGTTTTTGTGTTGGGGGTGTATTCTCACTGGTACTTGAGTTTCCAAGAACATAATTTTGATTTGGTGCTGTTTATGATTTCTAGGAAATTACTTAATTAGATCCAAAAGTTGAACCTGCTTTTTGCAGCCATGATTTCATTTTAATCAACAATATGTTTGGGAAACAGGTTTTATTATGCTTTTGGATATGAAGACAAACTAAAAGCAGTGAACTTGTTAGTAAAAGGATTCTGAATTGTGCTCACCTAACTAAATAGGCTAGAAAGGCTTGTGGCAAGAAAGGAGGAGACTTTATGTTCTTCAATTTGGGTAACGGACATGAAGGTTGAGGAACATCCTTGGAATAGCTAAAAAATGTTTTTGTATAATAAATTCTTGGAATCAGAATGGGAGTGTCTTAACTTTTTACAGGTGTGGTATTTGAGAAAAGTTTTGAAACTTCAGGCTCAGTACATTTAGAACGCTATAATTTGCCATTTGGTATTTGTTTCTACATTAGTACAGAAACCCTATTGTTACCTCTTTCACATGAAAGCTGATGCACCTTGGCAATGCTTTTTCAGAGCTCTTCTTTCCTGGATTTTCTGCTTCCTTCCATTGGGCTTTGCAAAATCATTGCCCGTCATTTTTAATTGTAATTTTTTAAAATTATTCTTTTTTTTTTTGTTATTTAGGACAATTGTGCAGTCCTACATTGGAACTTAGGTGATTGACAATTGAAATGAGTGTGTAGAGTAGCCCAAGTAGATTCTTTAAAGTGCTACTCCAGACAGATGGAATGGGGAATAGTCAATGTCTGAATATGCAGAACCTTAAAATGAACAGTGCTTGTATAGGACTTACGATGATTTTTGTCTGCCAGGAATTTTATCTTCTCATTTCCTTACCTTTCAACTCTTCTTTTTTTAATCAGTGTAAACCAGAATACAAGGTACCTGGACTTTATGTTATTGACTCCATTGTACGACAATCTCGACATCAGTTTGGTCAAGAAAAGGACGTGTTTGCACCCAGATTTAGTAATAACATCATTAGCACTTTCCAGAATTTATATCGTTGCCCTGGGGATGACAAGGTACGCTTCTTCTTCTTTTTTTTAAAGTGGACAGATAACATTACCTTTTGGGGCTTAATGAGACTCTTTAGATTATCTTAATTTATGATTTTATGTTACTTTTTCTGTTCAGTTATTCTGAATTTGAATATTTAGTTATACTACCCATGTTCCTTTTTGTTCTTAGAATCTTTTTAAACAGAGTGGAAAGATGTAGGTTGATTTTGCTACTTTTTAATTTATTGAAACAATTGATGCTAAGGAAACTTGCTATCATGAGCTTTTGGGATTATACTAAAATTTTATTTATTCACATTCATGACCAATTCAGAATTTTGATTGTTTGACTTCATTTACCTATTTAGTGTCTGTGAAAAACAGATTTGTGAAGCAACTAATAGAAAATAACTAACCTGCATCTCAGAATTCTTTTGTAATGGTAGAGTTTTATTGGTGCTGGAAACCACACTACTAGGCCTGCTAGGTCTGAATGAGTAAATATTCTGTACCACACAAAAAAGGCCTTACAGCCTGAGGGAGAATAACAAGGGGTTGTTTATCTTCATACATGCGCAAAGATGCTAGAATTTACTTATTTTGTGTGTTGATTTGGAAATTTATTGTGCTCTTCTGACCAGATTGATTGCAATATTGATTATGTAGGAAAAGATAAGAATAGATGAAGAAGAATGGTTGCTTTAAAGAAGAGCCACAAAACTTAGGTAGTTTTTATTTTTAATAATTACAGTCTTTAATCAAGAAAAAAATGTTATAATGGATATATATGGAGATATTGTATCAATTTTTGTAAACAATCCTTGAATATGCTTGCTTGAGAAACAAAACTTTCTTTTACATTTACTTTGGTACTTTGATAATTCTCTGCAGGCAAAAAGAATGTTTCCAATTTTAAGTGACCTCTCATAAGTGATTCTTAAAATAGACACCTTAGAATCCCATCTAAAATAACTAATTTAAAATTTTATGTGTACATTTTTTGAAGTTAAACACTTAGAAATATCACTAATTTAGATTTGGATTTCTATCAGTTACTATGAACAACAAATTAGTGTTGAGTTTGTAAACTTCATGATAATTTTCTTAGTTATAATAGAGTTTAAGGTACAGAGTTATTTGTTTATTTTTTAACCGTAGTAGGAAAGATGACATTGGCACTATAATCTCAATCATAGTCTTGAGGCACTATTTGCATGTAGATAGATACATACATGAAACTTGTCAGAGACTGGCTAATTTTGAATTAGCCATTGTCTTGGGAACTAGAAGATTTCTTTCTATAAAGCAAAAAACTGTAAGGTACATTTTAAGTGTTCACGTCAAAGAAAGGAGAGTCAAATCAGAAGGTATGAAGCATTCTTTGTGTATTTTTCTATGCTTCATTTGAAATACAAAAGTTTGCATATTAATCTAGATTGGACATACTTTGAAAATCATCAGTATAATATTATAAGGGATTTAAAAATGAACCAGATCTTCATTTTTAAAATTGCTGCTTTTACTATTACAAAATATATACATTAATGTAGAAGTCTCTTTAATATTTAAGCTCAGCCTGTTATTTAAGTTATTTTCCTAATTGAGTAAGTAATGTTCCAATAATAACTAATACTTAGTGCTATTTAAAGAACTTTTGTATGCTGAACAGTTGTGAAAGAGTGTAAATTTGGTTAAATTCTTATTTGAGGAAGTAACCTCCCCGGTCCTTAGACAGTTTTAAAATAAAATTTTTTATAAAGTCACGTATGATAACTACTTTGTCTTGGTGTTACTTGTTTAAAAGATAAAGTTAAAATCAACTACAAATATGACTTTAGTACTGATGTGAATCCTGACCTGCCGCAGCAGCTTGACATTTCTCCAGCCAACCATAACCGTGATCTCATTAGACTTCACATGGCAGCTGAAACCTAGTTGCCCTTCCCGCCTTCTGCTAAGCGTAGCTTTAGCTTAACTTGTGTATCTGTCAGAATGAATCTGTGTGGTTTTTTCCCAAGTCAGTTAAGGTTACCGAATGCAAAATTATAGAAACAATTTCAGGGCTGGAAAGTTCTGTAGAAATTATTTTAATCCATTTTTCCCACCCACTGGCCAAATAGTATGTGCTAAGGTTTAAAAGCAAAAAAATCAGTGTCATTTTCCTTTTTTCTTCTAGAGTAAAATAGTGAGAGTATTGAATTTATGGCAGAAGAACAATGTATTTAAGAGTGAGATTATTCAGCCTCTTTTGGATATGGCAGCAGGAATTCCTCCTCCAGTTGTCACACCTGTCCTGGCCAGTACTACTGCTGCCATGAGCAATACCCCAGGTATGTTGCTTTGATACAGACTTATTCTCCAAATATTGTGCCCATACTTCTCAGGTGATTATTCATATATATGATAATGATTCCACAGTGCAGGAGAATTTGACTAGACTAGGTAATTGAAAAGTAATTTGAAGGAAAAATAAATTCAGAAATTACATTTGTGTGTAATTCATTTCTAAAAACTAGGGAGCTGAATATTTTTAGTCCTTAGATACAAAAACACAAAAAGCCTTTGGGAAATTGGTGTGTCATGTCAGCTAGGTTTTTCCTGATTTAACTGCCTATAATCTTTTAAACTTCTATGCAAATCAACTTGATAATATTTCACAATATATTAGAGAAACATAGTATTATAAGAAACCATGAAAAAATTTGATGGAGCCAATAATGCTTTAATAATCTCAAAATCAGTTCTTGAGTTTTAATTGACATACTTTATCATATCCAAGAATTACATTTGTTAACATTTTGGTATATATTTAGTTTTTGGTGTGTGCATGCATTTTTGGACAAAAATAGCTTTATACATACTAGTTTATAACTTTTCATTGAAGATTGTATTTTGGTTAATTTTTTATGTAATTGATTTTCATTTGTAGTAAGATTTTTAATGACTGCTAAGTATTATAGTAGTAATTTAAAGTAGTTAATTGTAGATAAGAATGGACCATCCTTTTGGTATTTTAACCTATCTAATTCTGTAATGATTTTTCAAAATAGAGACAATAAAATAAAACATTTATATAAGTTTGTATGTGTTTTATGAAAGTGACAGAGCAAATTTCTCTACCTTTTCAAGCTTTATTTATTTACTTACAAATTTATTGGGGTGGGTGTGATGTCTCTTTTTAAAGGAACTCCTGTGACACCTGTTACTCCAGCCAATGTGGTCCAAGGTTTACCTGATCCATGGGTATCCCAGATAGCAAATACAGATACACTTACAGCTGTAGCTCAGATCTTACAAAGTCCTCAAGGCCAGCAGGTGAGAAGCTTTTTTATATTGACAATGATATAGAACTCATTTTCCTAATGGATTGTTTCATAATGCACGGTCTAGAACAATGGTTCTCAACCTTCCTAATGCCTCGACCCTTTAATACAGTTCCTCATGTTGCGGTGACCCCCAATTTCATTGTTACAAATTGAACATAATTAAAGCATAGTGATTAATCACAAAAACAATATGTAATTATATATGTGTTTTCCTATGGTCTTAGGTGACCCCTGTGAAAGGGTCATTCGACCCCCAGGTTGAGAACCACTGGTCTAGAATGTGTGTGTATTTTCTTAGCACTTACTATCTTGTTACAGTGTATAAGTTACTTATTTTGTTTATTCTGTTTTTTTCCTACTGGAATGTATGCTATACAAGGGCAAGGGTTTTTGTTCTGTTCACTGCTGTATCTGTAGTTTCTAGGTTCAAACAGGCATTTAACACTTTTTTGTAGAAGGAATGAATAATGTATATTGGGTATACAAAAGATGAGTTGAGTTGTCTGGAAGGTAAGGTGGCCTGTGCCTATACTTGTAAGTTATTAGTGAAAAAGTTGAAATGGTAGATTAAAGTGTGGGGCCTGGGTTTTACTATACATAAATGGTGAGCTGAGAAATAAAGGATTGATAAAAAGCAGTGGTGAATTGCTAGATATTTTTATGTTGAAGTCACATGATCTGAACTATACTTCAATGGGTGGGAGAGGAGAGAAGGTCTGGAGAGAGGAGTATCTTTGTTTTGGTAACAATGATAATGTAAGGGAATAATGACTATGTGAAAAGTAGTAGGGACTTTAAAAAAGGACAATCTCAAAAAAAAGGGACAATATAAAAACCAATTCAATTATATTCATATATCAGACCCAATTTCTACATTTTTGGCACAGTTAGGAAACTGAATTGATAATACATAAAATTATTGGATTATTAATTTTATTTTGTGATACTGATACTTTGAAAATCATTCATAAAGTAAATGTTTCCATTTTTAAAAATACTTATGAAAATAAATACTTTTAGCAGGAGATGGGATTTTCCAGGAGAAATAATACATAGAGTCAAGAAGACACAGTAATTGATAGAATATCAAGTGCAGAGTAGAGGAAAAGTAGGATCCTGCACTGGTTTATACCTGGGTGACTGAAAATATAACAGTGCTATTGGGGAAAAATGGGGTGCCAAAAGGGGCAGTTAAAGTGTGTAAAGGAAAGATATGGCCTCTCTTCCTCCTTCCCTCCCCAGTTCCCTTTATTCCTTTCTCTCTCTCCCTTTCTTCCTCCCTTCATTCTGTCTGTTCTGTAGCTTCCTCAGTGCGGTAATTCAACCATCATATATTTTTAAAGTATTTTTTTTTTGGTATTATATTAGCAGTCTGTAGTAAATGTTTATTTGATAGCTTAGTGATTCCTTTGTTTCTTAATGTTGCTATTTTAGATAGGCATGAAATTATTTTACTGTCATCTTGAGTGGTGTTTGTACTTTCTCCCGCTAAGAGGGTGGATGAGAAGAAGGGGGAAGAACGGTTACTTTCAACTCTTGTTGCACTGTTCACCTTTATTTTCCTTAGTTTTGGACTCTGCTTCAAGGGACAGATTTCTTTGCTTTCCTGCTTTGAGGAAACATGCTATCAGATGTCAGATCTGAAAGATAGTAAAAGCAGTTGTAGTCAGTGCTTGTCCTTTTACAGAGATTATAAGTAAGTTAATTGAAGAAGAGATGAAAAGCTTAGTGAAAAGAAATGAGTCTGCTTGTGATGAGTTCTTTATCTGGTTATCATTGAACGAACACTTTTTTGTTTTCTGACTTTCCAGAAGCAAGACAAATTTATTAAGGAATGTTCTATGTAAGGCACACAAAATTTATTTTTTAAAAAATTAACTCTTGTTTTGTGTTAGTTTACATTTTTTTCTTCATCTCCAAAAACTAGAACAAATTCTATTGACTAAAAGCTTTAGATGGGCATTCTGATAAAACCCAGCACCTGTCTGTATTAATTTTCCTGTTTTTTCCCTTCCAGTTTCAGCAGTTAATACAAACTTTACAGATACAACAGCAGAAGCCCCAGCCTTCCATTCTGCAGGCCCTGGATGCTGGTCTTGTTGTTCAGTTGCAGGCTCTGACCGCACAGCTTACAGCTGCAGCTGCAGCAGCCAATACGCTCAATCCCTTAGAACAGGGAGTGTCTTTTAACAAGGTAGAAATTAAGTTATCAAGTCTGTTCTATGTGAATTATGGGATTTTATATACTATCATGTAGGTAATTGAGTTTTATCATAGAATTATTTCAATATCTACTGTACAAGATGTTACCAGTTTTACAAAAGGCTCAAATTTCTTAAATTAAGTACTTTTATAATTCTGTTTGAAACATTTACAATATTTTCCTTTGCATAAAGATAAACGATTTTTAGGTCAGTAAAATTGTGAATTCACCATTAAGGCAAATTATTATTTTCTGAATTTCTAAATTTCTTTTTTGGATGTTACAAATGTATTAATTATGGTGTTCTATAATTTTAACCTGCTAAAATTAAAGCTGTTCATTGTGTAAGTTCAAAGAACAACTTTTCTACAAGTTGTCATTATTCTATAATATTTTGATAAATTGAGGTCTATCATGTTTTTTAAGTTGAAAACTTTTCACGTATAGCTTATTGTGTGATATGTTCATTATTCTTGTTAATTATGGGAATATTAAAATACCTTGGAAGTGTTACCCATAATTTATTTTTGCTATTATTATTTTCCATAGAAAATAATGATTTATTGAGTTACTAGATTTTTTCAGCCAGCAGCTTCTAAGTGTAATTTAGCCTGACTCTAAATAGCTAGACCACGTAAAATTCTTCAAATTGATCATTTAGAAAACAGTGGAGCATTTTAAGAAAACTGTACTAGGAATAGATCATTGATTATAGTCCTAGATATTTTTATCAAGCTTTATTACCATTGGCAAGCCACTTTATTTTGATTCTAATTTTTTCAAGAAAAGATCCACTCAAAATGTTTTAGTATATTATAACATGAAAGGATTATATGAAACATTTTCATATTAACTATTGAGTAATACAGATAAATTAGTGGGATGTAATTGACCTTTAAATAAAATAGCATTTGTAACATATTTGTGAGAAGCACTTCTTAATCTCTCTCTTTCTCTTCCTCCCGTTCCACACCCCCTCCCCCCAGAAGTTGATGGATAGGTTTGATTTTGGAGAAGATTCTGAGCATAGTGAAGAACCCAAAAAAGAAATTCCAACTTCTCAACTGTAAGCATCATTATGTTTTTCTTTATAACCATAAATGTTTGATGGTTTTTTAAAATAAGCATTGGATGGAATGCTGCATTCTGAACTACTAGATATCCTTTGAATAAGTTAGGCTGTTTTGTTCTAACATTACAAAATGATGGTAGGATGGTTTTCTCGTTGCCTCACTATATTATTTTGACTCTCAGATCTTTGCAGATAGTTGGCTATATGAAAAGTCTTTATGGGAATGTTGATAAATTTAGCTGTGATATTTTCTGTATCTATATTAGGCTTTATTTATCTCACTTGTAAGAATATTTGAAATAATAGGAAAGAAGCTTGCTTCTAGTGCCAGGGGCCACTTCTGGGAAGTATACCAAATTCTGGAAGTGTATCAGACTAATCAGAAGTAGAGGTTAGGGTTGTAGGGATTTTTTTTGTTGTTGTTGATAATCCTCACCTGGTGATATTTTGCCATTGATTTTAGAGAGAGTGAACAGGAGAGAGAGACAGAGGAGAAACATCAATGTGAGAGAGACACATCGATTGGTTGCCTTTCCGCATGCCCTGACCATGCCCGTTGATCTGGCCTGCAACTGAGGTACATGCCCTTGACTGGAATTGAACCCAGGACCCTTCAGACCTCAGCTGCTGTTCTTCACACTGAGCCAAACTGGCTAGGGGGGGGATCTTTTTTTTTTTTTTTTAAAGAAATGATTGTATGTTTTTATTTAGCTCAGCCTCCCCACCCCCACCAGTTCTGCAGAGCCCTAAATTTTGTGAAGGTTCATGAAAACAACATTGGGTGTGGTGTGGAAGGTGGGAGAGTGGAAGGGGATTGATGAATGGGGAGAACTTCTGGGAATCTTGTTTCAAACGGTTTATTAGTTTTATATATTGGGATAATGTATTTAAAGATTATTTACATAATATAAAATACAAATGTATTATTTTGATAAAAAGATTGTACTTGAAACAATTAACAACTGATGTTTTAGGTTGAGTTGTGAAGTTAGAAGAAGCATTTGAAATTATGTAGATCAGTTGCTTGAACAATATAAGAATCATCTATCTTTAATAATCTTGACAGCAAGGTATTTATCCAATATAGTAATGCCTTCCATTATGAGAAGTTAAGTAATTATTATTGTTTTATGTTCTTTTGTTACTGAATCCTGTTTTTGATTTGCCATCTACACACTCATCCCCGTTCTGCTTTCTGAAGCAAGGAAACATTTGCTCCACTATCATTTGAGACATAGCCCTTTAGTTTTTGAAAATAGGTATCATTCTTCTCTTTAGGCTTATTTGCTCCAGATGACGTACTCTTTTTTTAACTGTTTCAAGACTTCTCACCATCCTGATTGTCCCCTTTGGGATGCCCTCTTTTTTGTTCCTTTTACCTTGTGGCACCCAGAATTCCAGGTGTGAATTTCCCAGAGTATAGTTAAATTATTTCCTCCTATTTAAACATTGTTTCTGTTAGCATATCTAATAACATGAGGGCTTTTTTAAAGAAAGCAGATTAATTTTATGAATTTTATTGTCAATTATAATTATAGATTTCATATGTACTAATAGAACATTTTTCCCACTATTTCATAGAGAAGTTAAAGTGACTGTTTAAATACTTTTAAACTGATTTTAGAAGTTTAATTGAGCTTTTCTTAAAATGTTCTATTGTAAAAAGTACTAACATATTTAATAGCATGAGATAGTAATATCAAATCTATCAGAGTGTCTCTAACATGTCATATATTGAAACACTATTGAAGAGTATATTTCTATTTTAACATAGTAATGTTTTGAGGTATTCCATTTTCTTAGTTAGTATTCCAAAAATAAACATTGTAGTAGAGTATGTTTCATTTCCTTGGCATTGAGGTCAGGGTTAAATACTTCGTTATTTTTATATTATCTTTACTGGGTTTTAAAATATATTTCCACTTGTTTTTCCTTTTAGTTCTCACGTTTCAGAATCTGTGAACAATTCCATTTTTCATCAGATAGCAGAGCAACTACAGCAACAAAACCTAGAACATCTCAGGCAACAACTCCTGGAACAGCAGCAGCCTCAAAAGGTTTATAACTCCATCTTGTGGCCTTTAGAATTATTGCTGTCTGTATTCTATAAATTGAATTTTCTTATTAAATATGGTGATTTTTCTTCAACTATTATTAGGAAGATTAGTCTTTTTAGGATTTAACAGTTTTTTCTGTAATCAAAATGTACACAAGCAACTTATGAATGGATTGAGACCATTGTAGAAATTAATCTCAGTATCCTGGAAGTGGAGAACAGAAACAGAGATGGGCTTTCAGTACCACAACTTAGTTCCTCTCCACTCAGTGAGTTCTCTCTCAAGTAAGGTAATGATGCTTTTGCTGTTGTTGATGGCAGTGATGACAGAATAGACTGCTGCCTTTACTTCAGCTATTACCATGTGGCAAGAACTTTATTAGGGTGATTACATTTAATGCTGATGAGATAGGTCTTTTGACTCCCATTTTCTACCATAGAAAATTGAAGGTTAGTGAAATGAAATATCTAATCTTTATAATATTCACAATTTTTTTTTTTTTAATTTCAGAAAGAGGAAGGGAGAGGGAGAGAGAGATAGAAACATCCATGATGAGAGAGAATCATGGATCGGCCGCCCCCTCCTTACCCCACACTGGGGATGGAGACCCCACACTGATGGAGCCCACAACCCGGCATGTGCCCTTGACTGGGAATCGAACCCAGAACCTCCTGGTTCATAGGTCAACGCTCAACCACTGAGCCACACCGGCCGGCCTGTATTCACAACTTTTTGGTGAAAATGAATTTAATACAACCTCACAGACATTTAAAATAAGCGTTGTTAGACAAATAATACACACAGAGGTGAACAGAAAAGCAAGTCCTCAAGTAACCTCTTCTCTGATGAAGCGCATACATCGTGGGGACATAGGCAGAATTCTAATTTCTGTAACAGGTACAAGTGAAGGACTGGAAATATGGAAGAGGGATAGTTACTTCAGTGCTGTTACAGAGGCAAAGGGTTGTCGTGATGGAAGAGTTTATCCAAAAACAGATTTGTTCATCTATCGAGACACTTTGGAATTGCCTTAATTCCAGTTTTATTTCACAAGGTTTAGGAGAAGCAGGAAATTCAAGGTGTAGTACTCTTGACCAGCTCGTAATTAACACCAAGTTATTGGAGTGAAAGGTGAAAATAATACAAACTTGAGTATGTGATCCTAAGGAATCTCAGTCTCTCCCGTCTTGGCTTACTTAATTGCTCTATGTTATTCATAATTTTAGAAGATACAGTAATAACACCCTTTTGAAAGGAGTAGATGTTCTTAAAAGCGTCATTGTCAAAAAATGAGTGAAGAAAAGGGAGTGGTGAAGAAAAACGACTTTCTAATGCATAAGGTAGATAGTGTTTAAAAAACATTTAGAATTGGAAGGTATAGCAACAGAGTAGCAAATCAAATAAATTGTTTAATTGGCTCTACCAATTCAATTGCCCTACTGTATTTAAGATAGGGTTAATAAGAAAAAAAAAACTAAGCATTTTTATTTACCAGTAAGCTCAATATGGCTGTCTAAAAGTTTTAATAGTGTCCTAGAGAAAAGAATAGGATTACTAGTGCCACTCTAAACATAGTCGCCCTGACCACACGTGGAGGTTACCATTACATATCATTCATGATATCCTCCCTTTATTAATTCTTGATAGTTTATATTTTCCGCAATTAAAAATTCACTTGAAGACCCACTTGATTTTCTCATTCTATTCTAACATTGTAGTCTTCTCCTCTTTTATGAAGTTCTGCTTTGCTTTTAATTAAACTTGGATTTGCACAAAAGTTTAAGTTTAGATTGATCATAAAAGATTAAACATAGAATTTCTTTATGCTTTGGGCTCAAATTTTAGAAATTGTCATGTTTGTGTGTTTAAATTTTCACTTGTAATAATATTCACTATTTCTCAATGTTTGTGTATTTGTATATATTCTCAATAGGCAACCCCTCAGGATAGTCAAGAAGGAACATTTGGATCAGAGCATTCCGCGTCACCCTCACAAGGGAGCAGTCAACAGCATTTCCTTGAACCTGAAGCAAATTTGGATGATTCCATAGATATTCAGCAACAGGTAAAAAGTAAATGCTTTTTTGGGTCATAAATTTATAAATTAGAGAAAAATATTATAAAAGACGGTAATTTTTATTTTAGGTAGAATATTTTATTATCCATTTTATGTAAAACAATAGTATCCTGAATGTTTTTTCTCCCTACCTAAGCTCTGCACTCTGTTTTACTATTAGACATTAATGCTACTATCATGAGTAGTTTGTAAGGAAGAAATGTCAACATGTACTGATTCTAAACTAGGCATTTTGTTTGTTTGCTCTTCTTTTGACTATTAAGGACATGGATATAGATGAAGGGCAAGATGGAGCGGAAGAGGAGATCTTTGAACAAGAAGCAAAGAAAGTGGCTGTTCGCTCGAGATCAAGAACACATTCACGCTCTCGTTCAAGGTTCTACATGATATTTAAAAATAGTTGTTTGTAAACATTTAAAATGTTGGCTTTATTTCTTTGCATCAAGATGTAAGGAAATTTTTTTTCTTAGAATTATATCTTATATTGTCTCAGAAAGAAGTAATTCAGAATTTGCTAAACAGAAAATAATTTGTTCTGTTTTTACTTGGATATATCTGTGGTCATTTATTTGAATAATATACATGAATCACAGCCATATCATGAGACCTTGATTTTGGATTGTGTCTGATTATAGTTAACTAGAGGCCCGGTGCATGAAATTTGTGCACGGGTAGGGTCCGTAGGCCTAGCCCAGGGGTGGGCAAACTTTTTGACTCGAGGGCCACAATAGGTTCTTAAACTGGACCGGAGGGCCGGAACAAAAGCATGGATGGAGTGTTTGTGTGAACTAATATAAATTCAAAGTAAACATCATTACATAAAAGGGTACAGTCTTTTTTTTTTTAGTTTTATTCATTTCAAACGGCCGGATCCGGCCCGCGGGCCGTAGTTTGCCCACGGCTGGCCTAGCCAGTGATCAGGGCTAATCAAGTTCTCTGCCTCCTGGCCTCCCTGCCTCCTCCTACCCTCACTCCCTCAGCACCCTGCCACCACCGCTGCCCGCCCCTGGTGGTCAGCGCACATCATAGAGAGCGATCAAACTCCCAAGGGGACAATTTGCATATTAGCCTTTTAATAAATAGGTTATTATATAGGATAATATTTTGATGACATCCACCTTTTAGGATATTGATGTCTCAGAACAACAGTTAGTCAGGCTGTGGAGGAAGTGTTAGAAATTCTATTGTATTTCTCACATTCCATTTCATCTCATAATACCACCAAAAATGATCATAAAGATAACACTACAAAAGTTTTATAAACAGTAATCATAATATCAAACTATTATAAAATATCCTATAAATGTTTTTTTGTGAGCTTTTCAACATGGCTAAGGCACATTATTGTACATGCTCATTCAACTTTGAGTTGGATGGTTTTTCTTATGGAGCATGCATACATTGGCTTTACTACAAACTACATTAAAACGGAAAGTCATTAGTCTTTAACATTTTTTTACCCTATTTTCTGCACATGAGTACCCTGAAAATCTGAACAGTAAGTAAATACTAGAAGAGGGAGCAGTATCTTTGATCACCTTTTCAGTCATTTCTTGTTTGTTTCAAGACGTTATGAGTATTTACCTCTTCTAAATGAGAGCCTGACCAGTCAGCTTTCTCTAAACCCACCTCATGTCACTGAATTATTTGGCTAAACAAGTTATGTTAGTTATAATTTGGTTGTAGCACAGTGGCTTCCTTATTTGTCTTGTAGCTCCTCCTTAATAAGCAGGTTGGAGAAGTTGAAAGCTTGTAAGCAGAATTACATAATGGCCTAATGCTCTGTTGGAAACATTCTTTGTTTCGTAATTTTAAGAATGTAACATCTACATCACCTAAAGGATCTTTTTATATTATTGGGTTTTTTGTCCCTGTTTGTGACTCTTGGAAAAATAAATTGGAACACTAAGAGAAAGTGAGACCCTTATAGGGTCTCATTTTCCTGTTTTTCATGGTTGTGGATCATAACCCGGACTCAGTAGAATTATTGAAAACAAATATTTATGACTCGTGTATTTGAGAAAATGCATATTTAATACTTGATTATAGTTACATTTTTTAAGAGGTAGATAAATATAAAACAACCCTTTTTTTCCTCTCTCTTCAAAGTAAGAAATTTAATATAAGAATAACATTGTCATTAGTAGTAAAACAAGATTTTTTTTAGGTCACCAAGAAAACGAAGGTCTAGGTCACGGTCTGGATCTCGAAAGCGTAAGCACAGAAAGCGATCACGCTCGCGCTCAAGAGAAAGAAAGAGGAAATCATCACGTTCATACTCCAGTGAAAGAAGAGCTAGAGAAAGGGAGAAGGAACGACAGAAGAAGGGGTTACCTCCAATTCGGTCTAAAACATTAAGTGGTAAGTGACAACATGCTTTTACAAACTTTGGTGTCAACAGATACTAAGAAAATAGTTATCTGCTACAGAGCCTCTAAATCTTACTTTAATACTGAGAATTTGCAAAGTGGTTTGGTAAATGAGTAATTTTGTCCTTGGCTTTTGTAATGTGATAGGGGAGAAAAGGGAAAGGAAGAACAGTTTCTACTCAAATACTAAGGTCGTTTGAGAGTTAAAATTTTTTAAAAATACGTTTATATTGATTTCAGAGAGAGGAAGGGAGTGGGAGAGAAACATCAGTGATGAGAGAGAATCATCAATTGGCTGCCTCCTGCAGGCCCCTTACTGGGGATCGAGCCCACAACCTGGGCATGTGCCCTGAGGGAATCAAACTGTGACCTCCTGGTTCATAGCTTGACACTCAACCACTGAGCTACACCTGCTGGGCCTGAATTTTTTTTTTTAATGCAAGTTACTCAACCTAAGACTTGACTAATGATATATGAAGTGGACCAGGCATAGTGTCTTTATGAACACCGTGACTTCTTTGCATTCATGTTCTAACCAGTTAACCACCAGGTAGGTCTGTAGAAGTAATTATTGTAGGAAGCATGTAAATTTTAAAGCTAATTATAAACTTACTGAAATAGTATTGGAGACATTCCGATTGTATAAATTTTGCCTCCTCTATATGTTAATCTACAATGTATGATTAGAACAAATTTGATAGTAGTGGGAGTTTATTTTAGGAGAGGGCTAGAGGAGAGTTCATGTAGTAGGACTGTGAGGTACAGGAAAGTAAGTTGTAATTAGTGCCAAATTCTGCCTAAAGGATTCTTAGTGGGTTATATAACTTCTAAGGTGAATCAGCAGACTGCAGATGGGCAAATTACATAAAATTGAACAAATTGTCTTTCTTTGCAAAGAGCTGAACATCAGTCAGGTGATCTGATTTCCAGAGGTCTCCAAATATATTCTTTCTGTCTTGGAAATAGATAAATAATTGGTATAACTTATAGTACTGCTGAAGCATCTTGGAAATTCAGGCTTCTAATTAAAGGCAGTAGCCACCTGCTTACTAAGTTCTGGCGCTTTGAGCAATCTTTGGCTATTTTGCTAGAATCTTATCTGATTATGAGAGGCAGTGTTAATCTAATGTCGCTCTAACTCACTCTGAAAGTTTTTATTTATCTCTTAAGGTAAGGGACACTAAGGGAGCCGAAGGTGTGACCATAAAATCTCTACCATGCCTCTTCCCATGATTACATTTAAGGCATTCAGAATCTCCAATTTTAGGATATAGCTTTTACCTGGTGTGTCTTTCATGTAGTTCCTCGCCTAATTTTTCATGTTGCTACCACCATTTACATAGTTTTGACTATGGAATTTATTTTCTATTGTTGTTTTATTTTCATGGGTAAACACAATAAAAACAAAACAGAAAGCACATAAAGTATGGTGAGAAGGATGTCTCATTTTTTTTTTAAATCTCAAATCTCTCCGTGGAAGCAATATTAATTTTATGTGGTCCCAACACATTTTAAACACAGGCAGTAGTTTTCCCCTACCATTGGTCCTTAGAACACAAGAGTTTTTATGAATAGTCCAGAGGATATGAAACATCAACACACAGTAGCATTCTGGGAATCAAGTGTCTCCTCCTCATGGAATGGAGGAGACTCGTTTTTGCTTTAAAGTAAAGAAAAAGATGTTCAGGAAAAGGAGATATTCATGGAGGCATGAACAGTACAGCTAAAAGTAGACAAGATGTCTCATGTGTAACATTTGTTTATTAATTGGTAGTGGCTTCCAAGTCTTTTATTGTAACAGTTAAGGAGTTCTAATTCAGTCTTTTGCTCTTCGTATTTTCATGGAAATTATTATTTCCTTAAGGATAGAATACAGTTTTGAGATTTAAATGTTAATTAGAGACAAACATCCATTTAAACTTTTCAGCACAGAAAAATACTTTAGTCCAGCCAGTGTGGCTCACTGGTTGAGCCTCGACCTATGAACCAGGAGCGTTAGCCTATGAACAGTTCGATTCCTGGTCAGGGCGCATGCCCGGGTTGCGCGCTCTAGCCCCAGTGGGAGGTGTGCAGGAGGCAGTCGATAGATGATTCTTTCTCCCCATTGATGTTTTTCTCTCTCTATTCCTCTCTGAAAAAAAAAAATGCACATTTAAACAAAATACTTGAAAGTAATGAAATACTTGATTGCAATGAAAAGTGTTTTGAAACTTTGTTGCACATTAGGATTACCCGTAGTATTTTAAAACTCCCAATTTCCACTATGTCATACTCCATACTATTCATCATCTTTACAGTGGGATCCAGGTACCCAAAGTGATTCAAGTATGCAGCCACGCTTGAGGACAGGTGACATGATAGAGGTTGGCTTGGCATAGATGCAAATGGATAGATACCTAGGATTTTAGTTGATTTTAAATAGAAAAGATAAAAATGTCAGTAAACATGTATTTTAAATATGCTGTCTTAAATTTTAATGTTATTGTTAGTAGAGCTACTCAGCTCCTTAAAAAAAGGAACTGTCTACGTGATTTAGGTCATTTGCCTCTTTTTTCTTGACAGTGTGCAGCACTACCCTCTGGGTTGGTCAGGTGGACAAGAAGGCAACACAGCAGGATTTAACCAACCTGTTTGAAGAGTTTGGACAAATTGAATCCATTAATGTAAGTATCACATTTTAAATTATAGTTTAAGGTTAAAAAAAAGAATAGAGTTTTCACTCCTACGGAGAGTCACTTTGGTTTCTAATTAGCCTAAGTGTATCTGTCTGTACACATCTTTATAAGGATTGTTCGACTTTGATCATTTCTGTATACATTCTGCTGTTTATCATCTTGCTTAATTAATTTTTAAAATGGAATTCTAACAAAAATTCTTTTTTTATAGTAGTCTAACACTTGATCCCTAAAAACATTGAATTTTGAGTTAGTGGGAACTAGTGTGATCTAGTTTAATTCCTTTTTATAAAAAAGAAACTGAGTCCATAGAATTTTAATCCACCTGCACGTGAGCACACAGGTAGTGTGGAGACAGAGCTGGATTTTGAGGTCCCAGTCTTTTGTTAGCCTCTTCTTTCCTCCCTTTCTCTTCTTTGTCTTTTCCTCTCAAAGCCAACCTTAAACAAGAAAACCTGTGTGGCCAGGGCATCTCCAGTCACTTGAGCTTAACTCTTTAACTCCTCAACTTGATTCTTTCAGTGGTTTTGCCCTGCCCACTCTTCTTTGAGTAGTTTCTTCTTCCTGAAGGGCTGTGCTAAGGATGTCCGACTATAGCTTAGGCCTGCTCCCCACTGGCAAGTGGACATCCCCTGAAGGCTCCCGGGCTGCCAGAGGGATGTCTGACTGCCAACTTAGGTCCAGTCCCCCCAGGGAGCAGGCCTAAGCCAGCAGGTGGTCATGCCCCAAGGGGTCCCAGACTGCAAGAGGGCACAGGCTGGGCTGAGGGACCCCCCGAGTGCACAAATTTTTGTGCACCGGGCCTCTAGTAGATAATAAAATACTTTATGTGGGGGGAAAGCATAGTACTTACAACTAATAGGCACTAAGTTTTTTTGTGCCTATTTTACAAGTGATAAAATCCTGGATTTGAAAAATTGATGTAAGATTTAGAAGACCTTTGAGGACCAAGAAAAGTTTGTTAGATTTAGCATTTAGTAGGTTATTTGAGAGCTTGAAAAAAATATTTTCAATTGGTTGGTAAGGAGTTGGGTCTGTATCATAAGATTTGAAGAAGTATGTAGGGGTTAGGTAGATTTCACTTTTGAAAGGTTTGGTATTACAATGACAGTAGCTTGAAGTGTTAGCAAGACTGAGGGAAAGGTTTTTATTTTTAACAAATAGACTTATGAGATATTGGGTAATAATAAAGGGATAGAATACCTTTTGAGTTCTTCAAAAGAAAGTGAAAGGCTCTGTGTGTTTTTTCTGAATTAATACATTAAGGATAATTTTATGATCTGGCAGTCTATTGAATAATTAAATGCTTTGTAAATAAAAGTCTCAGATCTTTACAATGAGGCTATTTTCCTGTTCATTTTAAAACCCACTTCCAGAAGTACGTGGCCAAAATTAAGTTGTGTAAATTCCAAAGCTTTAGTTTTATCACTTATTGTAGTTTATAGATTTTGTATTAAGGTTAAGATACCCCAAACAATAGTTCTTCACACATCACTCACTATTATTTGGAAAAAGTGAAATAATAATGTGAATAAATTGTATGCTTTCAAATATGTGGGCCATACAATATTATTTTCCTTTTATCTTGTGGTATTGTATGCATGTTTGTATACTTTTTAAAATAGTTCTTTATTGTGTATTAGATACACTTTAATTGATATGTGATGATTTAAGATTTTGCATCCATCATGGCTTAGAGTGAGACCAACTAGGTTTTGGATTTTGTTCTTTGTTTAAAACTAAGTAATTAGTTGTACATGAATTGAAGCAGTAAACAGCTGGAGGAGGAAAAGGGAAATGATTCAGTATTCATCAGTAGTTAATGTTCTTTTTCATGAAAACCATAAAATGCCAGAATGAATCGTCCTCCTTATATCCCTTCTAAAGGAAACATTTTTTTTAATAGATGATTCCTCCCAGGGGCTGTGCTTATGTCTGCATGGTTCATCGACAAGATGCATTTCGGGCTCTTCAGAAGCTTAGTTCTGGATCATATAAAATTGGGTCCAAGGTCATTAAGGTGAGATTGGGGTAAGGGGACACATACTTTTGCTTTATTGGATTATTAGGATATTTCTGTATTTAATTGATTTTTAAAAAATGTTTAATGGGCAAAATGCAACAGAAATTTATTATTTCAGTATTATTGAGTACAGAATTAGATATAGATAGATTAATACCCAAAACTTTAGTCAATTTATATTATTAATTTCTCCTTTTTAGCCTATTTCATACAACCCAGGCCCTTATGAAGGTTTTATTTTTATTTTCCTTTAATCTTTAAACTGAGTAATTATTATGTATTTTTCCATTTTTACCTCGTATAACCAATTTCTTCGATTTGGAGATAATTTATTCCATCAGTTTCTGTAACTGAATTAAAAATGTTAATGTAACTGCTTTCAATGGAGGTAATGTGCCCATGCTTTGTCATTTTATGGCAGAGTGTTTCCTGTAAACTCCAGTGTCACTGGTCTCTTTTCTGGAGTACCAAGTTTTTGTTTAAATTATAATAACTATTCTAATTATCGATAATGTAGCTTGACATTTTTTATGGTGAAAAGTAGATTTGGATATTGTTCCTGGAAATGTGTTGTCTTAAAGTAAGAAGTGGAAATAAATTTCATAAAGACAATCCCAATCTAATGCAGTTTTTATTTTACAAACAAAAACAGAACATGAAAACTTTTCATGGCTGTTGTTCTTTCATTAGTGATGCTGTGCCTGTCCAGCTGATTTTTAAAACTAATTTTATTTGTATTTACAATGTCTACATGTTTTTTAATGTTTTGCCCTGTTTTTACAGTATTGATAAGCTTTCTGTTTCCTCTCCTAATTCCTGATAGATTGCTTGGGCTTTAAACAAAGGTGTAAAAACAGAATACAAACAATTCTGGGATGTGGACCTTGGAGTTACATACATACCATGGGAAAAAGTTAAAGTGGACGACTTGGAAGGTTTTGCAGAAGGAGGCATGATTGACCAGGAAACTGTAAATACGGGTAAGAACCCTAAAGGTAGTTTTATGTTTAAAAAGCACACTTAAATGTTTGTAATTGGTAAGATAGGGTGAATTGTGTTTATTCTATTTCCTGGCTTCTTTCCTCCAAAAAGAGAAAAAATATGAAACACTTTTGTGTTCAATGTATATGTTTCATGGGTTCTATTTCATTAAGTGTCAGAGTATAGAGAAGAGAGTATTTTAGAAGTCTACAAATGTAGCATTTTTTAGTGTCTTTAAAAAAGTTTTCCTCTTCAAGACAAAGAGTTATATATTGTGTATATGGAGGTTTTTTAAAACTAAATATTTAATTCCTTGAGTTTAAATGAGAACTGGAGATTTCATAAGCTTCTTTGAAAAACTGCCTAGATTATTTTGATTAGTATCCATGTTGAGAATGGTTCATATTCATGTAATTTGAGAATGCTTATGTGCCCATACTTTGTCATTTTATGGCAGAGATCATTTGCTTTAACCAAATGATCTTCTGACATGCTCTTTTAAAAACCTTGTCTTTTTTTTAAAATATATTTTATTGATTTTTTACAGAGAGTAGGGGAGAGGGATAGTTAGAAACATCAATGAGAAAGAAACATTGATCAGCTGCCTCCTGCACACTTCCTACTGAGGATGTGCCACAACCAAGGCACATGCCCTTGATCAGAATCAAACCTGGGACCCTTCAGTCCACAGGCCGACGCTCTATCCACTGAGCCAAACTGGTTAGGGCAAAAACCTTGTCTTTTTATTTTAAAAAATGATTAGCAATTATAACCAGTAAGAATTCTTAAAATAATTGAAATATGCTATATATGTTATTGCTTCACATCTTTGTAGTATAATAGCCAATTTTTAGAATATTTTTGTTCTCAGGCCAACTCATATATTCAGACACTTTTTCAGTTTTCTTCTTGTCAATTTCTCCTTTTACTTGATGGATGTTCCTCCAGAACATGTATTCATTTACTAAATATTTTAGTTCCTGCTGTGTGCCCGGCATAATTTTAGGAACTGGGATTATAGCAGTAAGACAGACAGACAAAAATATTTCATGCAGTGCACGTTGTAGTATAGGAGTTGATAACCTATAGTCCCTGGGCCAAATCTTGTCAGCAGCCTAGTCTGTAAATAAAGTTTTACTGAAACAAAGCCCCGCTCACTTAAGTTTATCTATTTTATATGACTCCTCCCCCCCCCCCCCCCCCCCCCC